TGCCAAAGATGGGGTACATTGACGTTGTGGCAGGCTTATGCAATGTATGATCATATAATGTAACTAAACCCCATTATTTTTGCCTAGATTAGGTGTTTTTAAAAAAACAAATAAAATCTTTCAACATTGAAGTTGCTGTTTAGTGGATGGGTGAGTGCGCTGGATCTTGTGTATTGTATTATTTGGCCCCCAGCAGCACCCCCATTTATGCATGTTAAGGTGAGTGCAGCCAACCCCCTCTTGTTTTATATATATTTGGGAGTCTAGCCAACTCCTTGGTTTTGCACCCCTCCCTGTCACAGGTGCCTCATCCCAGGGCCCTATTTAGCCTTGTACTGCAGAGAGCCCCAGATGGAATTTCTTTCCCCAAGTAGGTTAATCTCATAAGAGCAGACATTAGGCTGTTAGTGTAGGACCTGCCAAAGATGGGGTACATTGACGTTGTGGCAGGCTTATGCAATGTATGATCATATAATGTAACTAAACCCCCATTATTTTTGCCTAGATTAGGTGTTTTTAAAAAAACAAATAAAATCTTTCAACATTGAAGTTGCTGTTTAGTGGATAGGTGAGTGCGCTGGATCTTGTGTATTGTATTATTTGGCCCCCAGCAGCACCCCCATTTATGCATGTTAAGGTGAGTGCAGCCAACCCCCTCTTGTTTTATATATATTTGGGAGTCTAGCCAACTCCTTGGTTTTGCACCCCTCCCTGTCACAGGTGCCTCATCCCAGGGCCCTATTTAGCCTTGTACTGCAGAGAGCCCCAGATGGAATTTCTTTCCCCAAGTAGGTTAATCTCATAAGAGCAGACATTAGGCTGTTAGTGTAGGACCTGCCAAAGATGGGGTACATTGACGTTGTGGCAGGCTTATGCAATGTATGATCATATAATGTAACTAAACCCCCATTATTTTTGCCTAGATTAGGTGTTTTTAAAAAAACAAATAAAATCTTTCAACATTGAAGTTGCTGTTTAGTGGATAGGTGAGTGCGCTGGATCTTGTGTATTGTATTATTTGGCCCCCAGCAGCACCCCCATTTATGCATGTTAAGGTGAGTGCAGCCAACCCCCTCTTGTTTTATATATATTTGGGAGTCTAGCCAACTCCTTGGTTTTGCACCCCTCCCTGTCACAGGTGCCTCATCCCAGGGCCCTATTTAGCCTTGTACTGCAGAGAGCCCCAGATGGAATTTCTTTCCCCAAGTAGGTTAATCTCATAAGAGCAGACATTAGGCTGTTAGTGTAGGA